GGAGGAACCCTAGGGTTCCATAGAACCTTGGCTGAAGAAGGCTGCTGTCGACCATTTCATTGTACTTAAGCCCTAAGAAAGCTGGAGATCTTTGGGCCCCAAAAGCATTGGCTGTTTGTCATCCTTTCCATGGTCATTTAATGAACCAATAAATCATTGTTGGACTTTTGGATCAGTTGTTTGGGACTCTAAGGCTTAGGAAAGCATAGCTTCAGAAGAGAAGTTTATATAGGAAAAGCTCTCTCTCCGGGGTTGGAAACTGATCTCATTCATCTTCAGTTCAGAAAGACTCCTAAAATGCTAACAGAGATATCTACAACCAATCCTTCAAATAAACCAAGTAATTTACAACTGATTTATTTGACCTTGAAGAAACCCTAACGTTTTGTAAGTTGAGCCCAACAATGGTAAGCAGAAGACAAAGGACCGGTCATCAGTATTATTTTTCGGCTCCCCATAGCTGATCATTGCTTTTATTATTGACTAACCACATCTTATTCTGTTCCTTGTCTCTGTGTAGAGGTGGTAAGCTTGGAAAAGCCAGGGCTTTGCTTCCTTATGTTAGAGCTGCCCCCCCTTTGAGGAGGTGTTATAATCCTCAAGCAAAAAAAGAGGTAGAAAAAGCAGAGATTAACAGAATGAATGAAGCAGGGAGAACCTTCCATTGCAGATCTCAGGTACAGCTTGCTCCCCAGCAAGGAGAACATTGAGCAGCATAGTAGTGACCTTACCAAATGTCACTCCAAATCTCCTAAGACTAGCAGTCAGAGGCAGTAGGATGATCTTAGACTGCAGATATAGAGCTATGAGGCTATAGGTAAAGAAGTGCACTTTTTTGGGAGGAATTCAGTACAAAAAGGTAATTTTTCAGGGTACTGCTTAGGCAAAATTAACATCTCTAGATGTTTCCCACAACATAGCAAATCTTCACTCTTTGACTTCAAGTCCTTCAAGTTTATCTTCGCTGGAGTTTCATAAGCTTCAATTAACCTTTTCAAGCTTTGGTGATGAACTACTGTTGGAACATTTTGTCATCAGTACAATCTGTAACTGGAGATCTTGCCTTACTCACCTAAAGAATTTACGTCAAGTACTGCGTGTCCAACCTGACTCTTTTTAATACTATTTTAATATTTTTCAAACTGTAATTGCAAACGTTCCACCGGGAAGTGTGAATATTTTCAATTCCTCATATCCATTTTTAAGCTGCCAGCATGCCCTACCGAGATTGTATTGTTGTCATACAATTATGCTTCTCAATGGAGACTGCTATTCGACCATCAGGCCCCTACCAAAACAACGTACCTGAGGCGTATAAATGCAGGCCCACAATAGAAGCCCTGTCATGCCTTATTGCTGTAACAGTACACATCCTGTTGTGCCTCATTCCTCATTTATGAAGTGGGCAGGGAAGAATGAGATGCCTGATTGGCTGAGGGCTTCCATGCTGTGAACCATTATTTGGAAATAAACATTTAGAAAAGAGAAAAAAACACAGCCGTAACTCCATTCCTCCGCTGGGAAGGACTAATCAATAGTAGCCTGTAGCAACACATATCAGGGCTGATTTATAAAAACTGGAGCTAAAGGGAAGCCGTTGCATTTGGGAACCAATCAGGCTTCATCTTTCACTCTCCGGGAAAAAGAAAACAAACAATTGAATTGCTTGCTATGGTACAAATCTCTACATTTGCTCAAATGTTTATAAATCAGTACCAGTACATATATGAGATACTATATATATATATATATATATATATATATATTGTAGCAGCGCCCGACCCTGTCAAAGGATAAAAGCAGGTAGAAGTGGTCTGGTAATGGACACAGGGGCTGCACATGTGCAAGTTACAGAACTGCGGAGTGTAGATGTTGAGATTGCTGTTGCAGGTTTCTCTGGATTTTGATATTTCTGGATGGGGCTCCGTAGTTTGGAGATTTCAACGTGCCTTGGGAGGGAAGAAATCTCCAATCCAGTGTCCAGAGTTTAAAGTCAACCAGCATGGTGTGGGCCCAGGTGCTCACAGCCCATATAATGATGGTTTTGCTGAGAGTTGCAGGGGGGAGTGCAGTGGCTGACATTGTCTATGTGTGAGACAGAAGCTGTGTGCGTTCAAGGGCTCAAGGCTGTGTGCGTTCAAGGGCTCAAGGCTGTGTGCGTTCCAGGGCTCAAGGCTGTGTGCGTTCAAGGGCTCAAGGCTGTGTGCGTTCAAGGGCTCAAGGTTGTGTGCGTTCAAGGGCTCAAGGCTGTGTGCGTTCAAGGGCCCAAGGCTGTGTGCGTTCAAGGGCCCAAGGCTGTGTGCGTTCAAGGGCCCAAGGCTGTGTGCGTTCAAGGGCCCAAGGCTGTGTGCGTTCAAGGGCTCAAGGCTGTGTGCGTTCAAGGGCTCAAGGCTGTGTGCGTTCAAGGGCTCAAGGCTGTGTGCATTCAAGGAGTCCAACGCTGTGTGCTGGGACTAGCCAGTGGTCTGGAAGACCCATATTAGCAGAGGTACTGTTAACCAGCAGGGCTGATAAGGAGTAGCCGGGAGGCTTGGTAACTTTTCATTTGTCTTTACCATTGGAGAAGAACCCCTATGTGGGAAAGCTTATTTTGGAGTTTTGAGATTTTGTTTCCTGCCTTTTAATAAAAGTGGGCTACCAAGCCCTGAAAAAAGAGTTTCTGACTAGTGTGGACTCACTTGGAAAGCATCTACCACTAGAGCTAATCATCCCCCATTCCAATATATATATATATATATATTTGGAATCTCTCCAAAAATAACTCAGTAAATAGAATTATAGTGTCTCCAGGTTGCCAAGTGTTATAGCCGATTGGCTAACCAGAGTACTGAGGTTAACATCACTAAACCCAGCCACGCAACAGACCTGAGCAGCAAAATAGGAAAGAGCTAGGAGGAGAGGCATCCTTTCAGTACCCAGAGAAAGAAGTTGTCTAACCCATAGCCAGCTCATAGCTTGCAATGATTGTCCCTGCATGTTATTGCCTATTTGTTGCCCTCATTCCTCTTTCGTTGCCCCTGTACTGCCACCAGTTCAATTATCGGTATATTGCCACCCACTGCCTGTTTTTTGCACACCTATTGACACAACTACTGCCTTATTGCTGATGTGCTGACACAATTGCCCAATTGTTCCCCACATATTGTCACGAATGCTCATTAGTACCCACATATTAGTTTGCTGCCCATATAATGTATATAATATCAATACTGCGAGTTTGTTGCCTACTTACTGTCGTGACTTTTGGCCATGTATTGCCATGATTCCCAATGCACTACCCACATATGGTCATGATGCCCAAAACACAATAGAAAAGAGGTTTCTGGTGTAGATAGGGGGCTCCCACCATCCCTCCAATATTATAAACTCCTACTAGAAACCTCTATTGGGAATTTAAAGGCAACCAAAAATATTTATCTAAAAACTTTACTTTTATTATATACAAATGGTAAAAAACAGGAAACATTTTTTTGCATAGAGTATCAAACGATAAATGGCTGAACACACTATTTACATTCATGGTGATCCCGCTCAGACCAAAATCAGACTTATGATATGATCAAAAAGTCCATGTGCTGGGTAACCCAACCCGTTTTGAATTTATCATTTATCCTTCCTTAGGGGTCAATAGCTTTTTGCAAGTGAGGTCTCCAGAACTGGACACAGTTTTCTTTCCAACAGGAAATAATCACATTTTGTTATGGTGTTGAGTGCTGTAGACCAGTGGTGTCCTTTGCTTGCCTTAATCTAGCCCTTGGTGCACTATTCTTCCCAGTGACGCCAATGATGGGGTACCATTCCTCTCAATGACACCAGCAATGGGGCACTATTCCTCCAACTCATACCAACAATGGGGCACTATTCCTCCTATTAAAACCAATGATGGGGTATGCCTTACTTCCATTGATGGCAGGGCATTTTCTATTCCCACTAGCCATAGTCTGCTCCCCCCCCCCCAAAGCCTGAAGGACAGTAAACTGGTCCCTTGTTTAGAAGGTTTTAAAGCGCCTGCTGTAGACACAACCATCTACAGTTATGTACTGTAGGTTTGTCTATTGCAGGGTCTCCAAACTGCAACCCGATAAGGCCCTTTGCTAGCCTTTATCTGGCCCTTGGGTCACACTGACACAAACAATGGGGCACTATTTATCCCACTGATACCAATGATAGGGTACTATTCATCACATTAATACCATTGATGGGGCACTACTCCTCCTCCTACTGACCACTAACCCTGAGGCCATGTTTACCTTGACTGATGCTGGGCCCAGGACATTTTCTATCTCCACTGGCTACAATCTGGCCTTCATAAAATCTGAAGGATAGTAAACTGGCCCTTTGTTTGAAAAGTTTGGAGACCCCTGGTCTATTGAATGCTGATAGACACCAAAGTCATTAGAGCAGCATTTTAACTTTCCCTCTAGCAAACAAGATAGGTAAGAAATACTAATCTGAACACTGATTAATTTCCTACCTTGAAAGTTGTAAAGGGGCATCAAAGTATACATGTAGAGGTAACACTGCATCTTAAAAGCAGGTGCCTCAAGTTGTCTATGTGTGTTTCTCTAAGTCTTCTCTTGAGCACTCTGAAGCCTTGCCAAACATGGGGCACTCAGCAAGGTGGCTTTCAGTTTCAAATCTGGATGTCTGGCAAAACCCACTCCAGGCTCCTAGAACGCATTATATGGGTACTTTGGAAATGGACAGATTGCTGGGAGCTGGAATTCAATATTTCCATACCAAGAGCTCCAGGATGTGAGAGCTCAGGAGAAGACTGTAAAGAAACAACTGACTTTACCTCTGCTTATCTACAGGGTCTGTAGAATGCCATTTTCCACCATTATTTAATGGCCTCCTTTTGCCTGTGGCAACCCTTGTTCCTGTTTGGGAAGCACAACTTATGTCTATGCTTTTTTATTATTGTTTTCTGTGTCATCCTCACAGCATGGCGCTGATGTTCTTGTGCCATTTATTGTGACTATGAGAGGTATCCACATTACCTTTGTTTTGAATATTCTCCACTGCCCCATCTTGCTGCTTTCCTACAACAAAAGAGGGATGACAAACACAAGACATGAAAACAGACAAGACACACTGTGCACAATAGCCACACAAGACATACTTACAGTATGGTGGGATAGTTGAGCCATGCTAAATAACAGCCAAAGCAACATCAAACATGGAACAGTGAGTGGCTAATGGAAAGGGGATAGGACATCGCCAAATTCCAGGAAGGGGGACCAATAAAACACAAAAGCATTTTGAAAGGATATTTACACCTATCTGCAGATTTATCTTTGCCTCTTTAAAAAGGTGCATGTTGTGTACATAAAGCTGTCTGTGAAGGTTCTCATTTATCCAGGTCATGGAATATCTAATAATATATAGTCACATTCAACTGAACTTTTTCTGTAATGATGAAGATGTTTTGTAGGTTGTCCAAGCCATTCTTCAGTTCTAATGAAATGACCCCAGCATTAATATCCACAGAAGTAGCACCTACACCTTAATCCAATTAAAATGGAATAGCAGATGTTATTGTCTTAAGGAAAGGATGGGAGGTGTAAAAATTGTGGGTGGAACCCTGTTGTTCACAGCTGGTTTCCCACTGTGAATGATCCTGCAGCTTTCTTGGACCTGTGAGGGTCCCAGAAGACTGTGGACAAAGTGAGGAGGGCCAAACTAGGCGATCAGCAGAAATAGGAGCGGGTACCTATCAAAACTAGGTATTCGGTCCCCAAAAAAATAATATTAATGTGCCAAATGTGGTAGAGGAGGGGGAGGAGCAGGGCTTTCACTAGGCAAACTAGGTAGTTGCATATGGCACACTGCCAGCTAGGGGCACCTGGGCGGGACGCCGCTACATCATAAATGATCCTTCAGATGAGGGAAGGGATGGCAGAGGAGGAGGAAGAAAGGACAGAGGAAGATGCCGGGTGTCTGGGGCCAGTGTAGCAGCTGAGCTGCCGCTCCTTCCAGCATTCCTCCCAGACTCACTGCCTTACTGCAAGACGACTGACAGGCTGCTGATCACTGTGGACTTCCAGCCCTTCTCTTCCCATTCATCAGCGGAAGTGGAGCTGCGCCTGTGGGGGAAGGTAATGTCTGGCTCTGATGTCTCATGTATGTGCGAGTGTGACGCGGCCAGCCATCCATCACATGTGTAATGAGTGATAACATCATAACGATCCCACAGTTTTCTCTTCTAGTTCCTGCTGGACCTGCTGATCTGTGTCAGTGTTGGTGGCGGTGTGTTGTGTTGTGTCAGATCTGTCACTGTGTGGGATTGCTCAGTTCAGGTGCTCCCTCTGTGTGTGTGGGCTGGGCTGTCTGATGTCACAGGTTTTTACCTCCCCCCATTGCTTGGGGAATTCCAGCCTGGGATTTATCAAAGCTATCTTGTGGCATTTAATTTTGCAGATTAAAAGAAATTTAGCAGCTTCAAGCTTTGTTGATGTAATATTTTCTACTGTTTTACTTTTGTACTTTGTGTACTTTTTTTTAGGGGGGGGGAGTGCAAGTAGCTGGTCTTGCCTAGGGCGCAAAATAGTCTAGCATCGGTCCTCTGGCGAGGAGGCCATAAAGCAGAACTTCCCCTTTAGGATACAGTTCTGCACTAATGTCAGGAAGGCTTCATAAACGTTATTCCTTCAATGAATAAAGGTATGAATTGTTAAAATGCTGGAGTGGATATGTCTAACTGGCACTTACAACCCAACATAGGAAGGCTAACTCTACGGATGAAGGCTCAATGGTTTTCCTACACCTTAAAGTGACGGTAAAGATTTAAAAAAAAAGTCAACCTTGATGCTCCTCTTCTTGGGTCCCCCACTGGCACTCCTGGCTCCTTCCCCCTCCTTAGTGCCCCCATAGCAAGCCACTGGCTATGGGGGTACTTGTGCATGCTCACTCCAAGCACAGACACACAGAGCACAGCTGGGCCCCCACTCCCTACTCACAGGTTGTGATTGACAGCAGTGGGAGGCAACGGCTTCCACTGCTGTGTCTGAACCAATGAGAAGGGGGAGAGCCGCTGCTCTCGTGCAAATCACTGGATTGAGATCGGGCTCAGGTAAGTATTAGCGGTGACTGGGGAACTGCACACTGAAGGTTTTTTTCCTTCAGCCTTTAGAGCCACTAAAAAGGGACATTCTTTTGAAGACACTGAGATGTACATTTTGGACAACTGGTTCACAAGAGGCATGAAAAAGGTCATCTACATCAAACTAGATCAATCATCATTGAGCAGGGGCCTTTGACATCATGGGGTTTATTTACTAAAGCTGGAGAGTCCAAAATCAGACTCCCTTCTGCATAGAAACCAATCAGCTTCCAGGTTTCATTGCCAAAGCTTCATTGAACAAGCTGAGGTTAGAAGCTGATTGGTTTCTATGCAGAAGGGAGTCTGATTTTGGACTCTCCAGCTTTAGTAAATAAACCCCCATCTGTCTCCCACATGTAATGCTGTTTTAATATCTCAACAATGACATTTTGACAACAGTTCACACCTTCTTCGGTCTTGTAAATTGAAAGAATAAAGTGTTACTAAACCCGAGACCCTGGATTCACACTATCTGGTCTACCACAGTACATGGAAGTGCAATTATTTTAGTTAATATAAACTGCTAAATACCTTTTCTCATCAGCAGTTAGAGCAGTCTTGTGACTTCTATCAATGTCCAGCAAAGCACTGGCTAAAGCTTGTAGGAGGAGTTTTTCATTTTGCTCTAGAAGGATGCAGAACCCCTGACCTCTGTCTGGACAGTGCTGATTGTCCCTGTGCTGATCTCATGTACTCTCCCAAGGAAAAAAAAAAAACCCTCTCTAGCAATACACACCAAACTGAGCATGTACAGAGTGACTCCACACAATATGTCCTATCAGAAGATAAGAGGGGGATACTGGGAGAAGGTGAGGATCAGAGAAGACAGGATCAAACAATTTTTTTACACAATGCAGAGGATTAACCCCTTAGGCACCACAATGAGTATAACAAGCATGCTTTACTGCATATACAGATTCATTTTACTTTTGTTGGTTTAGTAACACTTTAATATTTATGAAGCCTTCATGACACCAAGATATGGATTATGCAGGGGCGGACTGACCATTTGGAAATTGGGCACTGCCCAAGGGCCCGGGGTCAGTAGGGGGCCCCATGAGATGCCCCTGGTACCTTTTTCATACGCTTTATTGAGTTTGGGCAAGGACACAGGGGCCCCATGATCCCCTATTGCCCGGGGGCCCTATGAGTTGTCAGTCCGCCCCTGTGATTATGTAACTAGTAAAAGATGGTTCCACAATTTTCACACTTTCCATCCTTTCCTTAAACAATAGCATCTGCCTTTCCATGGTAGTTGGATCAAGATGTCTGTGCTACCTATGTGGACATAAATGCTGGATTATCTTCCTAAAACCTATTAGAAATTATGAAGAGTCTTGAAAAAGAAATAAAACATCTTCAACTTTACAGAACAAGTCCAGTTGCATATGACTACTACTAGATGCTCTTAAAACTGTTCCCATAATGTGCACAAAGTCCTCTCCTCCATACTATTCTTAGATGAATCAGCTGAATAAGCAAACAGGAAATAAAGGTGCCATAAAGAAAACAGGACGGAGGAGTTTTGGCAACTGCAACATGAAAATAGTTAAGAGGTCTTGAGGAAACTTTAAACAGAGAAATCTGAAGGTGGGTTAATATTTGGTTTGAACATGTTTGTGCTGTTTTAATCTATCTACTATGTTTCTAGCAACCTATCCGTATAGTCTACATTTTTCCAGATCTCCGTGGCGGCACTAGGAAATATTTCTACCCACTTTCTTCTCTTAAAACATATAATCAGAAAATCAGAAAATTGCACTGAAATCAAAAACGGAATTACATTCAGCACTGGAATGGACAGACGTCAAATCTTATCTGCCGACATCTTAGCAGAAATAAACTAGCAAAAGCTATTTGCCGATTTGCAGAGTTCATCTAAAAATACTTCTAGTGTATAAGCAGTACAGACAGCTCTTGCTGCAAAGTTTACCTGTCACCTGTCAAGGCAGACATTCTATGGGACAAACACCTATTTATGACATAACAAGGAGCACATAGTTTGCCCACTGAACTACTGAATGAGTCTAAGCCTTAAGAAACTCAAAAGCTGAATAGTGGTTTTAAAAAAATCATCACCCCTACAGTGTATGTCAGGTATACTTTAGAGCAGCCTTTCTCAACCAGGGTGCCCTAAGGTTTATTCAGGGGTGCTTTGGCAAAATGTCTAAAAATTGCCCAATACTTGTATACAAGCCAATGGGTGGAACAAGTCTGCCTTTTAGTTACACAAAGCCACAGGTTTTCATTGTGCACCATTACGACCTTCTAGCTGCCAGCGTTCTGACAACCAATGACATCATCAGTTGATAAGGAGGATGTCAGCTGCTTGCACAGCATCCAAGTTTCACCCTCCCCTGCCCTTCTCCATCAGTGCTGGGGTCACATTAGCTCAGTGACGGAGAAAAGCTGATGGAGAGAAACACTGGAATACTACTCAGGACCAGTGTGCAAAAGAGTATTTGCTTTGGAAGAATAAATCACCTCTAATTTTGGGGGGGTCCTACATGTGTGGATGTTGCTGCGTTATATAAAACTATTAGAATTGTTTTTCACATTTTAGAATGAGGTGCCTCAAGACTGTCCCTAATTTTAAAGGGTGCCTCGGGACTGTCCCTAATTTTAAAGGGTACCTTGACTGAAAAAAGGTTGAGAAAACACACTGCTTTAGAGCACCCTTTCTCAACTTTTCAACGCAGAAGAACCCTTAACATAACGTTCCTGGCTCAGGGAACCCCTTTTAAAAATGACCATATCTACAATTCATAATACATTAATGTGATGGTCAAGGGGAAGAATGCTCCTTACACTTGTGGTCATTGGGAAGAATTACCCCATTACAGATAGCTACAAAGATCAATGGTGTTAGTAGGAACCATTCTAAAAGGCAGAAATTGCTCATTGGTCAAGAAACCGCTCTGGAGGAACCCTGGTTGAGAA